ATAAAATAAAATAAAATTGAATTAAATTTAAAGTCGATGTCAAAGACTGAAGGACTAATACTATTTTTTATTTTTAAATTAATTTTAAAGCTATGACCTATAGAAATATCTAAAACCGATTGGTTTATTTTGTGCACTTAAAGGGTTACAGGGGTTTACAGGTCCCAAAAAATCGATTTTTTTTTTTAATAATCTTATTAAATTTTACAATACCTCTGAAATAATGTCGCAATTTTTCAAGTTGATCCGAGTATAGAGATATAGTCTTGAGAACTTGTGCGCTCGAGGCAGGCTAGGCTAAGTGGGCCGTCTTTAAACGCATTTTTCTCGAAATTGTGTTTTTGAAGTCAGTTGGCAAGACATTTCGAGAACTACTCAACCGATATTGATGAAATTTCACACWAGCCTTTGAGATGCAATTCCTAAAGACTTGGACGAAGGATTTTTTTCCGATTACAAACACTTGAAAAAAAATGTCGCGAAATTTTAATTTCTTTGTAAAAATGTCTGCAAAAATCCAAAATTTTCCTTCGTCCAAGTTCTAAGTTAAGGTTTTAACTAAAATCCTTATTTTTTGACTTAAATGATCCTGTAAAGAGTTATCCTGTCAACGTGGATCTCTTTTCCGTGAGAAATGGCGTCGCTAAAGCGAGATAATTTTTTTTTTTTTAATTGAGAATTACTTTCTTAATAGTTTTTGTTTGTGGCAGTAAAAAATTTTAATAAAATATTTAATTTTTTATATGGGAAAAATTGTTGAAAAAAGTGTATGTTTTCTACCCGAGGAAGCTCATGTAACGCCATAAGTTTTTAGTAATTGTTTAATTCAGATTATATAAAATTGAAAGCTCTCATTATTCTAAAATTTTATTGATAAAGTTTATAAAAAATAATTTTAATTAGAAAAATTTATTAAAAAAAAGAAAATTTAATAAAATTTCTGCATTTCTGGATAGAATTTTCTTTTAATTTTTTCATTAGATTTTCATTTTGAAATATTTCATAAATCAATGCTTTCAATTTAATTTAATTCAGTTAAGATTATATTTCGTATTAATGTTTATATTTTAATTTTTTTTTCATTTTATTCACGCACAAATATAAATTTTGTAACCAAATCTTATTATACGCTTTCATAGGCTAAATATTTCATCAACATTTTATATAATTAATTTTACTACACATAACATTTTTTCTTTAAAAGTTTAAAAACTATGACTAGCCAAGCAACAACATTCAAAATAATATATGTACTGCTTACTGACATTTACAAAAATACCGTGCTTCTTATAAGTGTATACTACATATAGTTGGAATTTATATTTGTACGTAGTACTGTCAATACTTATTTATGCTTAAATTACAACAAAAATGAAAGGTTAAACCTTTCCTTACCTTATATACAATTAACCAATACATAGTAATATACATATAAATATACTTTCTATACATAAAAACATAAATAGGCTGTAGTGGAAAGTTTAAAATTCGATGATAGTAAATACATAAATATGTAAATAGTCCTGAATATATAAAAATATACTTATTTACTATTCATAATTATATAATATATAATATATATCGCATAAAATGTATATATTTTAGGGTAGTTCAAGATAACCTATAATTTTTTAATTTCATACACTGAAAAATTGGTTGGTAGAGACGTTAAAGGGATTGCATTTTATATTGGGTAGTCGTATTTTGTAGATGTTGTTACAGTCGTATTTCTCCAGTGCTACCAATCTCATTGTGTTATACCGTGTGTTGGAAAGATGAGATTTTAAGCTTTATTTAACCAAAGAAAACAAAAAGTTCGGTTAAGTTGAAGAAAAGTTACAGCTGTTCAAAAATGAGTGAAAATAATGAAGAAACTCGCTATATTTTTTAGTTTTTCGTATAAAAAGGAAGGAATGCYACAAGTGACTAATGAAATTTGTGAAATTTACGAAGACGATGTTGTATTAGTTCGTGTAGCACAACAATGGTTCTCTCGCTGTCGTTCTATAAATTTCGAKGTGAASGATGCACCTCCCTCTGATCGACATATCGTTGAAAAAGTCGATAAAATTATGAGAAGGATGACTGGGACCATCACATAAGCAGCCATGACATCGCTACTACAAAAAGAAGCTTCATGTTTGGCTACCACATGAATTGTCTGTGAAAAATGTAATGGACCGATCTAACATCTGTGCTTCTTTGCTGAGACGAAGTGAAATCCAACCATTTCGGAAGCGAATGGTAACAGGAGACCAAAAGTAGATCAATTACGACAATAGTGTGCGAAAAAACTCAACAAATTGTAGCAAAGCCAGGATTGACCCTCGAAATATTATGAAGGTTAATGAGTGTTTGGTGGTTGTTTAAAGGAATCATCTACTACATGTATGAGCTGTTCAAGCCTGGTCGAATGATTGATTCTACATTTTACTGTCGACAACTGATGAGGTTGAAGCAAGCAATTGAAGGAAAGCGGCCAAAACTGATCAACAGATATATATATCTTTGATGACTCAGCAAAAACGGGGAGAGCTTGGCTTGGAAGTTTTGAAGCAAATAGCTCTGACCTTCCACCATCGTACTAACATTTGTTTGGCTTCAAGAGAAGCCTTTGAACATTACTTTTCACCAGAAAAGTCTTATACTGATGGAATAATGCCTATAGTGGAAAAATATTAAAAAGTGGTCCGCCAAAATGGTACATATTTGGTTCATTATAAATATAAAAAAAAAATAAGTTGAAATTTGATTAAAAATATGAAAAGATTTTTTCCACCGCCCTATATTTTGGGATCTGGCAACCATAGTGTTGCAATTTTGCCGCTCATAACTTTGGCGGAAAGTGTAGGAAGTAGGTTTTCGATAMCTGAAGAGCCGGTTGATGTGTTTAAGTGGCATTTTTTGGAGATACCTCAGTCAGAGTRGCAAAAGTGCTTCGATAATTGGTCAAACGCATCTAAATGGAGATTATTTTGAAAAAATAAAATAAAATATAAAAAATTTAATAGAAAATAAAATGATTTTCGATGATTAATATATGTTTTTGTTCTCTAATACCGAATTATAAAAGGCAATCCTCGCATGAAATTGTCCCGTTTTTTTGTTTTATATCTTTTCTTCAATGTTGGAAAATAAAAATTTATAACCCATTAGTAACGATTGAAAAAAAAAAAAAATCTCGTCTCTTATATCTGTAGGAAATTAAATGCTCTGCAAAAATCAACTTCGCTTCACTTATACCAATCACTTATATAATTGTTAGAAGCTTACATAATAATACTATACCACCAAGTCAATAAATTTTATTAAAAATCCTTTAGGCGCTAATTTTAAGCTAAATTTTAATTTGAYCGTTGTTGTCAAGAAATATACGATTTTTTACTTAACTGTACCTGTATATAAGCATATATATTTAACTATATACAATTTGCATAAAATCAAATTTAAAAACTGTTGCCTGCATTTTTCCGTTTTTAAATTCGTTTCCTCATCTTTCAACGCTGTAAACGCTARTCTTATTTTACATATACTTGTTGGTGTTCCGGCCATTTAAATTTGTGCACAGTCAACAATGTGAAATTGTATGTGCCGTTTGTCATTGTGCTGTGTCTCGKCTTGTTGCTGCCGTTCTGGYTGTTGCTGCTGTTGTGTTTGTTGCCGCACTTGTTGTTGATTTGCATTTTTTGCTTTTTTGTGGAAATTCTCTTTCAACGCAGTTAAATCGCGCATCTCGATACTCGAACTTTCCGCCCGCGTTGACCTTGTCAGCGTTGCAGCACTTGTTTTTGTTAATGTTGCTGTTGCAGCTGCTGTTATTGTGGTTGTGCTTGCTGTTACAAATTCTTCATCTGTATGCGTAGGAATGAATGYTGTTGTTTTTGTAGTTGCTGCTTTTGGCGACTGGTAGCCACCCTCCCACTGGCTACCTCACATAAATGACAACTGACGTTGATATTGTTGTTGCTGTTGTGAAGACTGTTGCAACGGTTGTATTTGTTGTTGTTGTTGTTGTTGTTGGTGTTGGTAATGCGCTGTGTGATCGCAAAATTCACTGGCCAAAGCAACATCGGAGACATCAGTGAGCGGTCCCCCATTTTGACTGCCATTCGCCATAATGGTGATGGTGGTCTCTTGTAAGCGACTACGCCAAACATATATGTTGTATATGTGAATGTGGTTGCGCATTGAAARTAAACAAGTGTAAAAAATATTTATTTTGTAGTGAAGATATACAAGACAGAGGGAATCACAAGCCTCAGTGAATACATTTTTTAGACTTGAGTATACATAAACGCGCAGTATATAGTGGCGAATCATATAACATTCTGTTAGTTAGCGAATTGTTCGAAAAAAATAATCCTCACTATATGATTCCTTATGATTCCAATTAGAGTATTGAATTGTTAGCGTTAAAGTGCTCACAAAAAAACAAAACTTTAGGACCTTAACCACGCTGAAATTTAAAGCACAACACTGTACTGTTTTTTTATCGAATTCAAAGTGTTTTTCTGATTTTTTCGCTTTTTAAGGCACCTGTTAATTTAAAACACTTGGGATGCCCTGGGTCTCATACTTTCAGATTGCTAAGACTACAAGCCGATATAGAAATGTTCCAACTTCTACGAGATTTTTGGCTGCACAAAGCTAATACTTTCCGATTTTTCTTGAGAGAGTAGATGAAATTGGAATATTCAGAGCAATTTATCGATAAAGAGTTCCAACCTTCCTAAATTTCTAGCTCTACAAGGCTAATACTTTCCGATTTTCCTTAAGAGAGTAGTTAAAGTCGAAAAAATATAATCAAAAYATTTCAGGTGTTCATCAGAACTAATGCGGTATTTTATTGGTAATTCAAACTCTTATTCCTTTGTACTCTCTCTTTCTCTTTATGTTCACCATTTTTAATGGATCCAAGGAAGTTATCGTTAAAGAGTTTCAACCGTTGGAGACTTATGACTCTACAAAGTTAATACTTTCTTAATATAGTAGCCGAAATCGAAAAAAAAAACGAATAAAAAATTTCAGATCTTCTTCGAAGCTAATGTGGTCTCAAAAGCTCCCACTATCTCTCTCTTTCTCTTTATATTAATCATTTTAGATAGATTTCAGACAATTTATTGATTAAGAATTTCAACTTTGCAAAATTTCTGTTTTCACAAAGCTAACTCTTTTCGATTTTCTTCAAGAAAATAAAAATTTGCATATCTTCATAGCAACTAATGTCGTATTTTATTGGTCACACAAACTCTCACTCTCTCTTTCTCGCTCTTTTTTTTATACTCAACACGATATTGTTAATTTCTGCCAAACTCTCACTCTCTCTCTTTAGCTTTATATTCCCCACGATCTTGTAAATTTCTTTGAGTTATCGAACTTAACTGCTTAATTCTTGAAATTTGTTCGTTTGAAGCGAATTCAATAAAAATTTAATTTCGTATAATTTTGAACAATCCAAAAAAATTGCATTTCATAAAAAATTTCAATATTTTTGAAAATATTATTTTTAAAATAAATAAATAAAATAATTCAATTAGAATTTGGTTTTTGAGTCATCACTTACAAACATGATACATGATAAGCAATCCGTTTTTCTGTGCGGTATTTATTTCTACTTTCAAGTGCCTTGCTAAAAAATAGTTTGCCTTCAACAAGCACTCAACTAATCCAATTCTCGCTAGCTAATGGTCAAATATAACGAATCTACAATAAAGAGCGCAACCAAAAACTGCCTGTATGCTAACACTCAATCAGCTTTAGTTTAGCTTTAAAGTTTAGATATACATACATATACTTATGTATGTAGCACAGAGTTACATATAGTGTAGTAAAACACCACTCACCTACGYACGGTGCTGTGATGATGGCATGKAGAGCGTCGCGTCGATGAATAGTAGCGCTTCGATGCGGTGCTAGTGAGCGATGCGTCCCGATGCATGCAGAGCGTATCGTTGTGTGGGTGTCGTTTTTTGAGGCGCACGCCGGACCCTTGACAAAACAAGTATCTAAAAGAGTGAAATATGCAAAAGAGCAGCGAAAAAAATAATCATACAATAAAAAACGAAACGCAAGTGAAATTAAAAAACAAAGCAAGTGAAAAAATTTGCAACGTGAATACGTAAAAGCGAAAAGCAACAAATAACGGAGTCAAGTATGTAAGCCGTGGCTTTAATGGATATACATATGTATGTATGTGCTGGCAGTGCGCCTGGCGGTAGACTATGAATTTGTGGTAGTGACCTAGTGACGCTTATGGGTACATGTAAATATGTTGTCAGCAGTTTCAGCTTAAATTTTATAGAGGAGGAGGAGAACATATATATTTCTTTATGAAAATTTGTACATTAAAATAGCCAAGGTTTTATAAATTACAAATTTAGAAAATATACATATATTGTCAAATAAAAAGGCTTTCCATACAAAAAGTTGATTTAGAATGATCAGTTTGTATGGTAGCTATATGCTACAGCAGTCCGATCTGAACATTTTGTTCAGGGATTATAACATAGTGGTTCGATCTGAACAATTCATGCGGTGATTGTAACACTGCCTTTAACAATACTTTATACCGAATTTTGTGATGATATCTTATCATATAAAAAAGTTTTCATACAAGGACAAATTATTTCGATTTCGTCAGTTTGTATGGTAGCTATATGCTATAGTGGTGCGATCTAAACAATGCATGCGGAGATTGAAGCACTGTCTATTCTGTTCTATAACAAATGTCGTGAAGATATCTCTTTGTATAAAAAAAAGTTTTCATACAAGGAGAAATTATTTCGAAACGGCCAGTTTGTATGGAAGCTATAGGCTACAGTGGTCTCATAATGGCGATTCTCACAAATAAGCAGATTTTTTGGAAGAAACAGATGTGTGAAAAACTTCAGATCAATAAAGCAAACATTTAGAAACTAGTTCTCGTATATACAGATGAAGAAACAGGCAGATGTGACTAAATCGACTTAGCTCGTCACGCTGATAACTCTGTGACAAACCTATTCAGGATATAAAAATAGGCTCCTAAATTAAGTGATAACTTGTTTCGTAGCTCTCTCCGAAAGTGGTAAAGCCAGGCCTTGTGAAGTTAATAATATGAGATTAAGCACACTATACATCCATGAAAAAATGATGAATGTATTTATTCTTTGCATTATATTCAAAATATTTACTTTCGAGCATCATTTCATATTATAACTAACAATTTCAGGAGAGCAAAAGCAGCCATGAAGAGAGCAAGTTTAATATAGCGCAATAATAACCTCTGTCCTCCTCCTGCATTAATCTTTAGCTTATTTTTTATGCATGTATCGAATCACTGCTTGATTGAGTTTCATCTTCATTTTTATTGAGTGTGGTTAGTTTTGAACAAAAAACCAATAGCAYTACATCTAATTCTTGATAGTAGTGTAGGATTTGCTGGAACAAAGAGATTTGTATTGAGTGAATTCCCTACAGAAAACAGATTGTGACTACTCTAATGGTAAACAGCGGATATATATATAGAAAGCAAAATAATTGCTGAATGGTATAATGATGGCATGTATGTATGTGTGCGCTTTCTGGGGACAGCTACTAAAGGTGCGCTAAGTAAAAAACAAAATGGTAAAAATACACACTTGAGACTTTATTAGCTAATTTTACGTAACGCGATTTGATTTTMTCGTCGATACTATTGTCTTTCCAATAGCAAAATGCAAGTGCGTTGCTTAATACAAAGGCAAATACGAGCATGCAATGCTATCAAAGTGTGTTTAATATTCGCGACGTGGATTTGTAAGCAAATCGATTTTTTTTTTTGTGCTTTTGCTGAGTTTTTTATTTTCATACCATATATAAGTATACATATACATATATCTAGGAAAAAGTTATATATTAGATTATGCGTATACTCCAAATCAACTTTCGCCCAATTTATTTTCAATATATTTTTTATTGTTGTTTTTTTTTACTGGTTTGCTTATGTGTGTGTGTGCTTCGTTTTAGCGCATATCTTTGATTTATATTAGATTTGCGTTTTTTGCTTTTAAATTCATATGCTTTGCAACGTCCTTACCCCGTACGGGCAGGAGGTGCCTGYATGTCATGCGTCAGCATTGTAGTGAATAAACAAATACCTATTGAAATGTTTGCGGAAGGCGCCGCTAACAAAATACAAAGCCACCGGATTGGCGCAGCTGTTGGCAAAGGATAAGCAGAAACCGACGATGCGTAAAACATGCCAGAAGGAGTTGTAGTCATCCTGTGCGGTCGGCCTACAAATCACGTCGAATAAATAGAAAGAAATTAAAGTAAAAGAATGTTGTTAGTAATATATACGTGTATTGCTGCGAAATTAATATGATATGCAGATTATATGGAAAAAAAATTTCTTTGGGCTAAGGGTTTTGGCTTACTTATGTTATGGTATACTGATATTACAGTTTAGATTAGAWTATAGTGGTGGCCGATAGTTTAGCATTTTATTTAGTTGAGTACAAAAATATTTATTTTAATGAATTTAATTTAATTTCAGATTTGTTCTGTATTTTGTCTAGACACTGATGACAAGAAAAAACAGACAAGACTTATTAAGGGATTACATGGTTTACACCGCGTAATCCCAACGATTTTTTTTTTATTATTTTATTAAATTCTGCAACACCATTAGAATATTTTTCTAAATTTTCAAGTTCATCCGAGTAATAGTTTCGTAGATACAGTCTTGAGAACATGTGTGCTTGAGGCTAGCTAGACTAAATGCGCCCGTCTTTAAACGCATTTTACACGACTCTGTGTYTTTGAAGTCAGTTGGCAAGATTTCTCGAGAACTGCTCAACCGATCTTAATGAAATTTTATATATGTCTTTGGAATACAATTCTCAAAGACTTAAACTAAAAWTTTTTTTTCCATTACAACTATTGGAGAAAAAACTKTCGYGAAAATKTMATTGAAATTTGAATTTTTTTKAGAAAAATATCTGCCAAAWATCCAATTTTCGGTTTTTTTCTGTAAAAACGTCCGTTGAAAAACTATTTTCAAATTTTCCGTCGTTCAATATTTAGTTTTTAATCTTTTTTAAACACGTATTTTTTTCATTTTAATCCTGTAAAAAGTTCTGCCTTGAACGCGAAGACCTCGTTGTTCCAAAGGCCTGTCGGTTGTGGCCGAATTTTGAACATTTGCTTTTGAAAACTTCGAATATATGTACTATATTTGGARCAATAAAAAGTTTATATAATAAAATACATATGTACATAATTTTKTTTTTATGAAAACAAAATGATTGAAAATAGCCCAGTTTTTGCTCGAGGAAATCCATGTAGCCTTTTAAGAATCAACCTTCCCGAAAAAAGTCGTTTTCTGTGATAAAATCGAAAGTATTATGGAAACTTTATTTCAACGATCATTAATTGATCTCATATCTTCGAAAAAATTTTCCGGAACAACCTCAAATTTTTGGAAAATAAATTCAAATATATTGAAATGAACGGTGGCTTGCAATGCAGTCTTAGCTCTAGCTCTAAGTGAGCCAAATATAAGAACTTTCGATACATTAGCGAAAAATATTCGATTTTTTAATTCACAAAAAGATATAATCACTTAAGATAATGTCATGGAARAATACCCGTCAGTACTCAACTTGAAGCTAGAAAAATCTTATTTAGAACATTTTAATTCAATCTTTTTTTTTTATAGTTTTAGCGACAATAATATCAATATCAATTTTTATTTTAAAACAAAACATTAATTATTATTTTTTTTTAATTTTCCTCGATGTTTCGACTGATATATAGATGTTTAGTTGATTTTTTTAAATGCATTTTTTTCGACGATCTGATTGTGCATATTAAAATTTCGAAAAATACTATAGGCCAGTTATATTCAAATATAAAAATTTAATTATATTTTTTTCCTCGAAGATTAGACCAAAATAAAGAAGTTTTGTTAATTTCTTTGAAAATAATTTTTTTTTTTTTTCGAAAATCCGACTGTGACATCTGTCATCACCACCATTCAAATAAAAGTAARACGTGAATGATGAAATATGAGCTTCACTCTTTTGTTTTTGTAAGATACTCATACATATAAACTATAGTTGTTAGGGATTTTTACATTAAACTCATTTTTGATATTCGAAAGTATTTTTTTGGAATTTATGTCTTAATCTTTTGAAATGATCCAAATTGATCAATTATCCATAGAGTGTTGTATAGTGTAATCTTCTAGCATTTCTGTATAAAAAAATTAATAAAATTATTTTACTATTTTCAAATTTCACTATCTAAAGTATATATTTCGATTTCGGAGGCTAATTTCGATAAAAGAAGAATTTTTTGGAACTTATGTCTCAATCAATTGATCAAATATCCATAGAGTGTTGTATAGTGTAATCTTCTAGCATTTCTGTATAAAAAAATTAATAAAATTATTTTACTATTTTAAAATTTCACTATCTAAATTACTGCGTTGTTTTTTGCTTTTTTTTTGTTGTCGGCAAATAATTTGATTAGCGTAACTTTTTTGCACAAAACTAAATATTTTTTTTTGGTTACATTTTTTAAAATTAATTTTCACACAATTCAATTGAAATTTTGCTTAAAACTTAGTGCAAAAAAAAATCAGTTAACATATGCTAAAATATTGCCCACTACTGTATACCTGCATTTGGGTGTGTAACGTCTTTTTCTTCTTTCGTATAGATATTGTTATACCAGATAAATTTTATTGTATTAGCATTTTTTCTCATTTCCTTACTTACCAGTAATAGAACCAAAGCATGAAGATGTGATAGGGCATAAAGCAAATTCCGAATATGACCACAAATGCTAGTACCGTTACGGCTACCTTTCGACGAGCACGCACCTGCAATGACACGCAATGGCTTATGATTTAAATCTTAGACATTTTACAAGGATCATGTGTTTTTATGTGCATTTGTATGTATGTTATGAAAGGTGTCGAAAATGTTGCTGACAATAAAGCACTTAAGCTGCAGATCGTAAGCAATGCAAGAACGTTTAAGCTACAGCTTTTGCAGAATAAAAATTTTACAATATGTTCGGTGAGGTAATGATGAGATAATGATGACTATTTTAGTATTATATAAGTTGTTATATAACTAAAACTGTAGTAGAAAGATCTTGAATTTTGTTCTTAATTTTCGTTATATATCATTATACATCATTACCGAAAATGCAAAATAACATAACATCACTTTTCATAAGTTTACAAGTGTAGAAAAACGATATAATAGMAGCCACTCATATTGAAACAAAATATGWGTTTTGTTTAYAAAACGKTTATATCGGTTTTATATTGGACWGCGARAGCTTAAAAATTTATGATACCTATTTYATAGCAAAAAAACTCAATTTGGAATTTTTGATGTTACGTTGTTGTGCATTTCAAATGCCGTATATCGTAAAATATTAAAWYTTTTTTTTTTTGCAAAATTCTTTTTGAAATGGTTCCATCAAGTAGCTAATGAATCTATCTACCCCTCAGTTCAAAAAAATGTAAACTTCACCATAAAACTTCTATTTAATCGATATTTTACTTTTTAAACTCTCACTGACCTTTTATATGAAACACGTGTCTATTGTTTCAACAAAAAATAAACTACTTCAGCTCTTCTYCTCACTAGCGCTATTTAAGTATTCTTTTGTTTGCGCCAAATTAGTTGGTGCCGGTTTTTATAAATGAACATGCATGAATGAATTTCYTATCAACTTGATAAGGGCCATTTTTGACACTTTCTTTTCTTAGCCCAAGCCCAAGCATACAGTTCTTGCCTTTTACATAAGCCACACCCTTTTGGTTAGTTAATTAACTCACAGAGAATTCGAAGCTGAAAGCGCTTAGAAAAACCACATTGACGTTTGTGGCTGTATTTGTGCGAAAACTTGACCATATTTTCTTATAAATTGACTTCTAATTTCAGGAATTAATTAATCAACGGCGTTGTATATTTAGCAGCACTTCAGTAATAAACCAACAAAGTACTACCACAATCAGAAAAACGGGTGCTATTTAATTTGTCACACTACCAAATGGGGTAGTGGGAAGGCAAGCATGTAACTAGTTGGCATTATGAGACAAAGTGACAGTGTTGCGATTTTGCTTATTAGAAAGAGAAAAATTGACTTGTTTTAGCTTAGCGCTGTTGAATTAATATTTTTGAAGTATTGTTTTGTGAGTAATACAATGAAAAAAAAAAAAAAAAGATGTAGTGATCTTAGCACAAAATTTCATACTTTCATACAAATAATGGCAATTCTTTGTACCAAACACTAAAAACATTGTGTAATCAAGGTATTTAACTTTATAAATCTGAACTATTGCAGGAATGGTTCAAATAGCATGAAGTTATATTCTTTTTCAATTTAATTTCCATTTTAATTAATGAAAATAATCAGATGTAATTGTATTAAATTAGATAGGAACCAGCAGCGGCTAAGTGAAAAAGTAGGTGTGTAAGTTTTTTGGCCGATATCTCAAAATCAGAGAGACTAAATTGCATACCAGACATTTATACATTGGAGGGTCTCTGAACTGACGCTAAACAAGGCGCATGCCACAAAAAAAAAAAAATAATAATAACTGTATTTGATCACCAAACTATTTTTAATAAAATGTTAAATATAATCAGAATTATTATTTTTAWTCCCCAAATATTACTTTAAAAAATTCGTTTAAAAAAATTTTAATGTAATGTTTGGTGAATAAAATAATAATGCTGATTATATTTAAYATTTTATTAAAAATCGTTAAAAATATTTATGTAAATGTTGTCACTAATTCTTCGCTATACATAATACTGTGCAGCGCACCCTCTCACTGCCAATACGCGTATCGGATAACAGCTTCTCCGTCTATGATTAATGATGCTACTTGACCGAGTTCTCCAACTACGATTTGTATTTCGTGAAACCAGACCCACTTCTGCACTAACACAAATACATACAAACTTGCATATAATATGTATAAATATTTCTACGCCTAAAGTATGAGTGTGCTGCTGGCGTAAAATGTTACGGTGTAGCGTGACATGATAATTTCCGACTCACCTGTCGCATGGCGCCCTGCATTTCACCCGGCACGCTAGCCGCGTACATCAAATGCCGCGCGATCAACACATAAAAGGCGCCGATTATACACAATGGAATGGCGTAGTAGACTAAAAAGCGCATTAAGACCATCGTTTTGGCGTACTCAACACCCCACTCCTGCGGAAAGGGGTAGCACAGAGCGAATGATTTGTTGCTATTGATTTCCAGTTGCTGTTTGTGCGTAAAGGAAATCACGAATTCAGAGGAAAATAAAAGAAAAAAAAAAGATATGTAAATTAAATTATGCGCTATGCTGGGCATTTATTTCTACGAAACATGCTTATATGTGTGTACACAGGAGTATATATCCGGTAGACCGAAACATTGTGCTCACCTTCACATTGGTGCCGATGAGCGCGGGCATGGCGCAGAGTATCGCCAACAGCCAAATGGACACGGCAATAGCGATGGTCATGCGTGTGGCACGTTTGCCGCCGCCTGCAATGAAGACAAACAAACACAAATATATATGTATGTGTGCATATAGAGATCTCATTTTATTTAAAAAATCACTGTTGAACAAGTATATGCAAGTGGGTGTGTCTGGAGATTGCAATCGAAGGTATAATCTACTTACCGTGCGCATGGAATTTTCTTAATGGGTCCACTATGGCAAAGTACCGGTCTCCGGAGAGTGCAGTAAGTGTGAAAACGGAAACGCCAATCGACACATCTTTAATAAATTCCGACAATGTGCAAAGAAAGCTGCCCCATGGCCACGAGTCCACCGTGTAGACAGTGGATGTTAACGGCACAGTGGTGAGGATGAGCAGCAGATCGGCAATTGCCAATGATAGTATGTAGCTGCATTGCAAAAGCAATTAAATTTAATGAAAAACATGGATTATAAATATGGATATTGGAGTGATACGAGTATTAATATAGAAGCGAATAAAGAATGTAAATTAATGCTATTTTGTGGGGCGCCACTATGGCCATCTAGTATGTACAACACTAACAATTTTATTCTTGTGTCTACCGCGTTATTGATGTACGAAATTGTTTACCAATGAAATTTTGATTATGCGTTGCTTTTAATATTTATTAATAAGAAAAAAAGTATTCAAAAAATTACGTGGAAAAGCATTTCGAAGGTAATTAAAAAACTGAAAAAAAAATTCGCGTAATTAAAAGAAATAATTTTTTTTTTGATAATCAGGTTACGAATTTTCCAATTTTTTTACCAAAAGACAATTCAAGTTTGCAAAGAGTTATCAAACTAGTTACAAAGGTACTAGTTTAGAAGTATTTTTCGGTACTAAGAATGAACTAGTAGAAACGGAAACGATTGATAATAATTAGAAACCATTTCGACTGATATATAGTAAATGATTTAAAGTCATCTGAAAAGTCGGAAATTACTATATTGTATATATTTGAGATAAAATAATATAAGCTGGGAAACGCTTTTCTACACAGTTTTTGGTCAAAAGCCACATTTGAGCTTGAAATAAGTAAATCTGATTACTTTAGATTAGATAAGTACTGGTTTAGAAGCAGTTTTCATGGCTGAAAATGATTTAGTCTGAAAAATATCCGATCGCTAACAAATAGAACGATCACCGTACACGATTATAGTACGTAAAGTTGGCTTTAAAGTCAAAAATATATGTAAAGAGAATACAAATTAGAAGAGAATAAGTGTTGGCCACATTTGTGCTTGAAATAAGTCTTCAGACTGGTTAAGCAAGTACTCTTTTCGAACTAGTTTATCTAACTGAAAATAAACTAGTCAGAAAAGTAAACGATTGATAAGACTTTGAAGGAATTTCGAATAATATAAACGACTTAACTGGAAAGTCGACTGTAAAGTTGTAAATCACATTATCATTCGTATTGGGGCTGGGAGAAAACATACTGGGGAATATATTTTCCATGTTTTATGAAGTTTATGAAGACGCACATAAAATCTAGACTAACATAATATGTTTTATATGGTATTTGGGGGCTTGGAAATTCTTGGGCCGATTTCATATACCTAAAGCATTCAATTATAGTATGTATATCCATATTATACCCTCACTTAATTTTGCTAAGCTAACTTATATAATAACCTATATATACCATATTAATGAATAAGGAATGCACCGCGAACTTAGGTCCATTGTGCCCAAATATATACCATATAGTTAACTGGAAGTTTAAAAAGCTTTGTATTTTGTTTATATGAGCGAGACAATTCGGCTCGTATTAGCCCGAAACCGGGCTTTAAGTACAAAGTCACACTCTTAATAAAAATATATGTGCTCTGAGTTTCATTAAAATAACTCACGGATTCATCGATAAACGGTATAAAGTCAAGCGGAAGTTCAAAAATCTGACGGTAAGGGAAGTTTTGATCCAATTTTACACATTTTTTGGCCAACTATTAACAGGAAAATATTAGCTTGGCAATACAATAAAAGATCTCACGGATTGACCGAAATTTGCGATCAGCCTAAGGTGCTGAGGTCCACGACATAAGGTGGCTTGCAAAAAAACGCTCTTATTAGAAATATACGCTGTCTGAGTTAAACACATTCACCAATATACGATATAAAGACAACCGGAAGTTGTGGTCTACGATATAAAGTGGCTTGAAATTTAATTTTTTCCCGTAATATGACATACCTGAAAAACACTTTTTTGCAAAGTTTTATTTCGATAATTTCATTATTTTTAAGCAAAAAATCTAACAAATCTTTATAGTTGAAAAAAGAGAAACAAATTGTGGCAAGTTGCATGTGAAATGCATTAATATACCCCAAAACTTTGAAAACTTCGCTACACAGCACTTCCCAGAAGTAAGGAAACATCTGTTCTTTAGTAAAAAATCAAAAATTCAAATCAAATCAGACGACTCTTGCATTCACTCGAATTTTCTAGATTTTCTTCTACGCTGATTTATTGGTTTCTTCACTTACGGATAACGCGCCATTGACTGCAGCGATTGTGAGTTGCACAGAATTACGATTAGTATACGAAATGCAACAACAACAAAAATGACGAAAATAACAAACTCAAGTGTCATTGTTGACACTCATTTGGTCTATGCCAGAATTTATATACACGATATCACTCTCAATTACAACTAACAAGAGACAAATTGTCTGTCATAAATTTTACAAAGAACAAAAGCACAGAAATTCACTACAAAGCCATAAAGCCAAGCGCTGGTGGACTTATTTGTACAAATGTTCTAGTACTCGTGTTCTTACTGCGTTGGCAGCTTATCTGCTTAAGTTCTCACCAAGTGTTATAGATTTGTGCTGACATTAATCAAAATTGCGAAAATTTGGTTTGACAGATTAAAAAAACAAACTTGTTGACCAGACGTTAGGAAGCCAAAAGAAAATAAACTCCAATGATGATGGCTGTAGCCGAAATAAAGAGATGTGCATATGCGACAACGATTGAAAGCTTTTTGCTTTATTTCTAGTCTATTTTGTCATTCGGAAAGTTATTATTTTGTAGCAGAACAGTAAATGCTTTGAGGTCATTTGTCTGGACAGAATTTATAAAGTTAACTTCGTGTGAGAGTTTGAGCGGGAGCGAGAATTGATTATTTGTTATATATATTATGATATAATAATGCATTCCAACTCCTACAAATATACAGTATTGGACAAAACTAAAGCACCCCCTACTATGGTTCAGTTGGAACTTAGCTGTTTTCAGACAATAAAAAATAAATAAATGTAAAATTTTGACGTTTTTCAATGGATTGCTTATAAATTTTATTAAAATAAAGTAAAGTAGAATTTTCAGTTTTCAAAATTAAGTAAGTTAAAAAAACAAAACCATTTATGGTTTAAAAATTAACTGGACAAAACTAAAGCACCCCTTTCATCGGTTTGAAAATAATATGTGAAAATGAAAAAATAGTAGCAAATCCTTTATTTTGTTTAACTGAAACGCATATTTTAGGCATAGAAAAAGATAAATTATTTACTACATATCATGTGGTATGCCATTGCAAGTAATTTCTTTAGGTTCTAAAGGTTGATCCTTGGGTTTTCAATTTTCTCTATTTATTTTGGAATTAACGATCTCCCATAGGTTCTCGATGGATTTGACATCGAGTGATTGCGCCTGCAAATCTAAAACATCAACTCTGTAACTTCACAACCAAGATTTCGACGCCTAGTGTTATGCTTAGTTTGATTGTACTGCTGGAACCAGCATTATAGTGCCATAACCTTTACAACATACGGTAGCATCACGTATTTTTTAAATGTCAGCTTAAACAAACCGGTCCCTTATTCCATTTATTATATGAATAGGTCCATTTATTATATGAAGAGCTCCAGACCATAACATTACCACCGCCATATGTAATGATCGCAACATAATACTTAGGTTTGAGTCTTTGTCTTTTCGACCTTCTCACACTTCTTATGTCATCCGAATCTTTAATATTATATTTCGATTCGTCTTAGAATGAAAAATGGTATTCAATTTCTGAGTATTCCAATCAAGATGAACTATCGCTAATACGAGTTTGGCCTTTAAATTTTTTGCTGAAGTAAGGGACGACTGCTAATTAAATATTGCTTTTGTTTTGTTCACTCAGATTTTTACTTTTGAAAAGTTTTTTGTTTAAAATGTTGTATCTTGAAAGAATATATAACTAATGTTATATTTTTTATGAATTAATAGTTGTACATAATTGTAACCTGGAATAATTGTCCAACTAGTTCAGTTATATTTTTCAAAAATTTGGACATAAAAAGGGGGTAGGGGTGCTTTAGTTTTGTCCAATACTGTATATATATTTTTTTTTTTTCGTAGTTATAGGGAGTTACCAAATTTTCTTCTCTATCGCCCATCAAAACAAAACTTTCTTTGTATTTACCGTTAAACAACTATCCAAGTAGTTGACAAGTATCGAAAATTTTTGTTTTTGTTGTAAAAGCTGAACACCTCACTCGCGTCAAAATTAAAGTTAGTTACTATTTACTTAACCTATCTTCAGCACCTCCCCCAGCCACTTCAATAATATGTCTATCTATAGCGTCTTTTTTTACTGCTTACATATATGGATTATGTATGTAATTGAATTTCGTTGAAGGACAGTCATGATTACTTTTGAAAGTTTTCGCATTCGTTCGCTGACAATGTGCGCATAAGTAGATATTGATTTATATGTATAAGTAGGTGTGCATGCTCACATGCAAGTATGTGTTAATCCGTTTGGTTGTCAGTTTCAACCACAAAATTAATCACATTTATTTATAACGGGTGGCGCAAAAGTCAGAAGATGATCAGAAGATGCTATAAATTTTTGCAATTAACCTCTAATGTCAGTCCTGTTTTGAGATTTGTGTAGTGAACACATGCGAAATACACGTAAATAAACAATGGTACGCTACACTGCGTGCCACAACCGATATGCGTATAATGGGAGATTCGTTTTGGCGATTTACACTGGCCGGCAAGATCACCTGATTTGGCCGCTTCAGACTTATTTTTGTAGAGCTTTTTGAAGTTGCATGTTTATGTGAACAAGCCTCAGACTCTTGCAGCTCTTAAAGAACGTGAGGACTTATTGGCGGAAGTTCTGGCCAAGGTGATGGAAAATGCCATAAAAAGGGCTCAAATGACAATCAATTGTGGCGGCGGCCATTTACATGATATCATATTCTCGACTTCTCATATAAAAAAATTGAAAGGACCAACTAAAAATAATCCAGCAGAATCAAAGTTTTGAAAAAGTATTTCATTTTCTAAAAAATATTGGAAGATAATTTTTGCGCTACCAATTGTGTACAGATAGCCAAGCGACTTTGGAAATAAGAAAGTCGCTTGGAGTTTCGACAAAGATCATGTGTCATCACTCACTCCTCCGTGGAGAGCAACTCCTTGATGGTGTGAGACCCCACCGTAATGAATGATTCTGGCCCCATCATCTTGAAACCAGCGTAGAGCGGGCGGATAAGTCGACCAGCTCATTGCCAGCTAGCCCTTTATGCACAGGCACCTAGATCAGGTGTACATGGTTGAAATATGTTAGGCGACTTAGCCTTTCTATACACTCCTCCACTATTAGCCATTTGATTTCATATGCTGTGATCGCTTTTAGTGATGGAGATTTATTTCTGCACAATGACTTATAGCAAAGACTTCCGCTTGAAAGATGCTTGAAAGACATTCCCTTAGTATGGATAGTTTGGTATTCGGTCCCGCAATGCCTCGTCCAATGCCTTCTGGTGTTTCGTACGATAGGCGGTCTCTATACCTAAAATGAACTTAACTTTATTGAGGCTAAGTACTGCCAAGTCGGCTACATCACAAAATTATTAAAAGAATTTGTTCCATCTCTTATACAGCCGTTTTGAGTCTACGTATTCTCTATTTATTGAACAGAAAAATGTCTTACAAAAATAGGTGAAGCACTGGAGGATATTGAAGTTTAGGTGTTCATACAAATATGTTCACTACTGTAGCTATCGCTCCTGCTAACGAGTGTAATACTGTTGTAATATGCATAAAAATATTATAAATTAATGTATGATATTATCAAGGTTATGAAAAGGGTGGGGTAAGCGTATTAACGCGAAAAATGCATTGTAGTTTCTATTGAAAAAATAATTATATTTTTGGACACAGGTTAAAACCAAATAGTAAATACATACACATAGGATTTCATATGAATACTTCGTATGCGAAATAAATTTAATTTAATTTAGGTAATAAGAATTCGCGACCAAATGATATCAGAATGCAAATACATATAATATATATAAATACTCTGTGAGTGTGTATGAGTATATCGTCAACTAAAATGCAAAATAACGTCTCATCAAATAATTCTAAATTGAGTTTTTTAATGCTTACGATTCGCTACATCATATTATCTTTTAAGCTTCCGCTGCACCATATATCCAATATATACCACATTTTATAACCGAAACATTTTGTTTTATTACAAGCGGTTTTTATTGAGTAGTCGAAAAAGTCTTCAGTGCTACTAATCATTGTGTCATACCATATAGTGTTGGAAAGGTGAGTTTTTAAGCTTTATTTAACCAAAAGAGATAAATTCTGGGAGGTTGAGAAAAAGTTATAGCCTCTCAAAAATGAGTGAAAATAATGAAGAAATTCGCTAGATTTTGAAATTTTTGTACAAAAAAAGGAAGACTGCCATGTAAGCCATCAATAAAATAGTGATTTTTACGGAGACGATTCTGTATCAGTTTATGTAGCACAACAATGGTTCGATCGTTTTCGTTCTGGAAATTTTGAAATTTCGATTTACACAGATTAAAGTTTTACACTGATCGAATAATGTCTCTGGCGGAAAAATAACGAAAAGTGGTCGACCAAAATGATGCATATTTCTTCATATATTTATAAATATAACAAATATACTATAAGTTGAAGTTTAATATGAAAAGATCTTTTCGTTTACCAATAATTTAAATATGAAAAACATTTCTTCTTACTTGATTACTTTTTCATGCGAAAATATAGTTTTTACTAATTTTTCCAAAGAGATATTCTAAAAACAAAAACATCAAATATATTTAAATTTTACTTCTTAACCTTTTAAATTTTAACGAAGATTTGACTGTGGCTTGTAAGACAAAAGACTAATGCAAACAATAAATGTATTATTTGCCACCTGTCATCCCTTGCCTCTTCGAGTTAGTATTGGTTAGTAGGAAAATTAATTAACTTGCAAGAAGTAAATACCCAGTGCAATATTTGTGTTCAATGGTCGTAATGATGCAACGCATACAAATACCTGCATATATGAGCAGGTTAATGCCGGACAGATAATCATGTTGTAATCAGAATGCATTCGAACAAATCGGTTGACTATACAAGCAACTCGATTATGACACAATGCTCAATCAATGCTAATGCTAATAGGTGCACACATGTATAGTTGTACATAGTAACTGACTTGATTTTATATACTAAAATTTCATATGTACATATGATGCAATTGTTTGAAATACTCTTTCTAACTAATCACTTGAATATAAGCATTAATGAGCAGTAAGGACTTAAAGAGCTTGCTAAGAGTAGTAGAAGAGAAGGGAAGGGAATAGATGTCGACTCAAAATAAGCAGTCACAAGCCCTAGCGCGCTGAATGAAATTCCTCTTACTAATATTATATTTTGCTCCAGAATCTCGGCCGTGGCACGCATTTAACGTAAGACGCAACGTTTTTAATTAAGTAGGCTCTTAGTTACAGCACGTAATGCCTTAACTGAAATTAGCTGCTACGTGTGCATGTACAAATAAGGACGAGTACATCAACACTGCGTACAATATTGTGACATAAATGAATACAAACAGGTTGTCAAATAATCCTAAAGACTTTTAGTAATAAAAGACATCATCTGTCAACAACTGTCAATAACTTTTTTCATTTGCATACATTTCCATGTGATGTGAACGATTTGTAAACTGTCTGAAGACTTTATAAATTTGTTTCCATTGTACACGTTATTTTAGCAGRTGTATCACTGACGTGGTGCTCAGACGAATGTTTGTATTTATTTATTTTTTTGATAGCAAAAAATTTCGAATTTTTATACCCTGAACAGGGTATATTAAGTTTGTCACGAAGTTTTTAACACCCAGAAGTAAGCGTCGGAGACCCTATAAAATATATACAAATGTTCAGTATGTTGAGCTGAGTCGATTTAGCCATATCCGTCTGTCTGTCTGTCCGTCCGTCTGTCTGTATATATACGAACTAGTCCCTCAGTTTTTAAGATATCCTTTTGAAATTTTGCAAATGTTATTTGCTCTTCAAGAAGCTGCTCATTTGTCGGAACCGCCGATATCGGACCACTATAACATATAGCTGCCATACAAACTGCACAATCGAAATCAAGTTCTTGTGTGGACAATATCACATTTGACAAGATATACATATTCACGCAATTTGGTACATATTATTTTCTAAAGCAGCAATTTAATATCCAAAGAAATTGTTCAGATCGGTTAACTATAGCACATAGCTGCCATACAAACTGAATGATCGGAGTCAAATGCTTGCATGAGGAACTTCCTCATTTGACGTGGTATCTTTACGAAATTTGGCATGGATTACTGCTTAAGGTAACAATATAATCTCCAAAAAATTGTTCAGAACGCATATAGCTTCTATACAAACTGAACACATACATAGTTACTAACAGAAATGCACCTGTGAAGGGTATTTAGCTTCGGTGCAACCGAAGTTAACGTTTTTTCTTGTTTCTCATTAACTTAAAAACGTGCGCCATTGTATCGTCATTGTTATTATTATTCCATTCACGATTTTATATGCTCTTGGCAAATTTCTTGTCTTTGAGCCATTCCGTTTAAAGCTACTTCTGTTCGAATGAAATATTACTCATACACACCGTTGTACCTACGGTTGTGCTTTGTAGCAAATATTAAGATGTCGGGTCGGGCAGTACATACAATATATTGATTTCTAGAAAAATTCAAAAAGCTTCTTCAACATTTTCAAAGCTAAAGTATAAAGTAATAATAAATGTATATAAATATAAACAATTAAAATAAAATAAAAAATATATACATATTTGTAAAAAAATTAAATTAATGATATAACAAATAATATAAAATTAATATAAAAAAATATCTGTATTTGGTAAAAATCAAATTAAAGATATAAAAAATAACATAAAATAAATATAAAAAAATGAAATATAATAAAGGCAAAAATGTAATATTTTAGCATAATTTTTTCGAATTATATGCGGAAATCTAGAAAAATGCAATTCGATTTGTCAACATTTTTCATAGTTAAAAATAATTTAAATTCAAATATATTTTCTTTTCAAAAAATCGCATACTCTAATGAAAGTCGACTATAAACCAAAAATTGTGACTTACAAATATCAATCAATTACAACCATTAGGAATTTGTAACTGTTGGATATTTCGTCTCGTAGTACAGATCTATTTTTGTTCTTAATAGCTTTTCAGCTACTACGCAACTATTTTAATGCTTTTAATTATACATTAAAAAACAAAAATAATTATATTTACTCGCACCGCTTACTTACACTCCCTGTTAGATAAGAACAACTCACACACAACAAAGATCACGCCTCCCATTCACCCATTCACCCAATCAACCAAACTCCCACCCAACTACTCACGTATTCGGCACATTGCGCATCTGTCGTACGCCGAGGAAGACCACAATCAGTGTGCCATTGCCCAGCACGCCCACAATGAAGATAAGCGCAAATAGCACGGGCACAATGTATGTTTCCGGTCGCATGACATACGGTACATATGGCGTTTCGTTGACCGCTGTAACGTTGCCGCTGCTACTAATGTTGCCGTTGCTGCTGCTATTGTTATTGTTGTTGTTATATATAAAGCTAGCGCTAGTGCTTAAGGCTTGCATTAAGCTGTCAACATACGCGATGACTCCACCATCGCCGCTAACCCGATTTCCGTCGCCATACCCACCGCCCTCATCCACCAAACTGCTGCGCATCAAGTTGCTGGTGCTGCCGCTGCCAATGTCCGCTATCGCTGTAGCCGCAGTTGTAGCGCGCGTTGTCAATTCCCACAATGACAATGTGTTATTTGTGGTGGCAGCGCTGTAACTTGTTTTTGTTTCTGCCATTAGCGTCTGCTGTAGGGAATTGTTGTTGTTATTATTCCATATAACGTTCGAGTCGTGGCTAAAGCTCGCCACGCCGCTGTGTGTCAGACTGGCCACTGCTATGGCGGCACTCGCAGCGCCATAAAATAGTAAATTTTGCATTGTGCTGTTGTTGGTTTAGCGGTTTAATTTCTATTTTTGTTTTCTTTGTTTATACGCGTTTTGCTTTATTCCGCCTCCAACTGTGTTTTGTGGCGTTGGGCGTCAAGTAGCACTTCGCTGTGTTGCTTTGGCGTTGCTTTACTTAATTTGTTGTTGCGTTGTTTCGCTGTCGTTGTCCTGTTCATGCCGTGGAGGCTGAAAAATATATAAATATTCTGTAATTAATGGTTGGCCTGCTGCGCTAGGTTAGCTTAGAGCCATTTAGTGGCTTAGTTTATTAAAGTGGGAAGTGTGAAGATAATGAAAGCGGAAATGCGATTTTTTGGTTGGAATTTCTGTGAATTGTGTGGATTTCACTAAAGATGAATGAAAATATTATTTTGTGGTATTAAAGTATTTAAAATGACGATTTAAAAAACTTATCAATAATTTAATAAGTATGTATATAGACTCGTAATTTTAGTAAAATTATGTCTTAATTTGTTTATTAAATAAGTTTAAATTTTATAAATATACATTGTGGCAAAAAAGCAGACGGAAATTGTAGTTAAATAATCCGGATAAAGCTGATTTTTTTTTCAAAGGGAATAAAGTAAATAGGACTCTTTAGACATGTTTGATCATGCTAATTCGGATGCCACAATCATAGAGAGTATTATAACTATTGACGAGACATTTTTTTTTTTTTTTTTTTTTTGTTTTTTGCGGGTGAGGGGGTGGAAAATGCCTTCC